GACTGTATTTCAGTAAGCATACAACGTACAGCCTCACAGGTTACAACAAGTAAGCAAATTATGACTATCATGTGATTTTATTATTTTATCATTCTTTCAGTAATTTAATGGTCAGAAATGGTGTAGGAGTTCCATAGACACAGAATATTTCAGTGTTTGTGCACAAACACACAATAAAACACTGGAAGTTTCTTTGAGGACTGTTTTGCCAGACTTTCCCATTTCAGGAACAGGATGAAAGCTGTTGGTCAACTCTGTTTGGTTAATGAGAATAAAGCTGCTATTTTAAATGTAATATAATTGATGTGTGTTCAGTTTTATTTTGAGTGATTTGCATTTATAAGTTGAATTTAGTGCTTGATGCGTAAGGATGTAGCTTTTTACCTTTGCATGTCCTGCAGGGGAGTATGCTGCGTACGGCTGAACCACCTCTGGATCGCTTTGGTCCGGAGTGTAAGGCTTTTCTTTTTCTCTTATTGTGTGCAGCACCGTATCGTTTGGGCTCACTGAAATTAACAAGTCATGGTGAAAGGTCTGTTTGTGAGACATCAGGGCGCTTGCAGATTAAAGAGCTTCTCAGTGTTAGAAAGAGTGTTAAATACAGAGAGTGGATAGTTTTAGCTTAATACCAGTTTTCTTGGTATGTTGGATTGAGTATGGAATAGAACTTTCTTAAAAGACAAAATACGTATGTATGGAAAAAGAATATACAATATAACCAAAACGTAACAATGTAAAAGTACTTAAAGGATTTTGTCTTCCATGGAATAATCCTATGAATGCTGATAGAGCAGCTTTTTCACTGTAGTTAATCATACAACACAAGCTAACTAAACCATTCATTCTTATACTGTAATGTTTGCTTTGACCAAGATAATGTAACCATTCCCTCTGTCATCACGCTTTTCACAAGCATTTCACTCACCTACAGTGACTGTATTAGGGTTATTTTTGTCAGGGAAGGACAGGTAGACCCAGTACTCCTCTCTCCAGGCCTTGTCTAGTCCAGTTTCAGGGTCTTGCCATCTCTTAAGCATTATCTGTACAGTCTCCTCATCTCCAGCTGTGGTAGCCATATGAGGCACTTTTGTCAGGCTCCTGTGGAGGAAGATGAAAGATAAAACTTCAATGGCAATTTAGCCTTTGAAATACTTGAATGAATGGTAATGGTATTAAATTATACTCTTTGGATTTTAAATGAGGTGCTGGTGAGATTTTATAACATTGTTTAAAAAATAAGGAAACTGACCTGAGATTTTCCTGAATCTGAATGTTGTCCACCTCCGACATGAACTTCTCAATGAGGCTCTCATCCACATCCTTGGCCACATCTTCCAGCCACGATGGTGCAGAGGTGCCGCTCTTGGCAATACCAAAGTGACCAATTAGGATGCCTACGGTCAGTACGGCAGCACCACACACAACCCCAATTATCACCTGTTTTATCATACTCCTCCCAGAGATGAGATCCTCCTGTGAAAAAGTCTCTTTGGACCTGAACCCTGACAGTGAGTCTTCCCCAAAGATCTTTTTTTGACCTGTAAGCTTTTTATGAATCCCGTCTTATGTAAGTCACCATTGTTAATTCCTGAACGTAATGACAGTGCAGCCCCTGCAGTCGCCTCCCATACGACATGGTCATTGTAAAGTTTACTCATTAATGTTTGCAGATGCGCTGGACTTTATCCCTTCATGTGTAAGTGTGTGAGGGGACTGAAAATCATTTATTTTCTATGTTTGCACACCTTTTTCCTTTTCTTCTTTTCTTTTTAAACATGTCATTCTCAACTCAATTCTCAATTTCTTAACTTAATTTCAAGTCAATTTATGTATGTATATTTATATTTAAAGAATTCTTAAAGTAAAAAATATATAAGAGTTAGAATATTGTTAAAATGTAATTAAAAACTATATTAACAATATAAAGATTACAAGACAAACAAAAACAAACAAAAAATATCACCAATAAAGGAAAATCCACTGAAATCTTTAAATCCACGTAGGGTTTAATGCCGAAGTTGTACCAAAATGGGAATGTCCAAATATTCCTAATACACAAGAGATGAGAGACTGTTGCCTGTGTCTTTAAATAATGAATGGATGGATCTTGTGAGACTACGGTGAGTTATTTGGTATCAGTGCTAAATAAACACAATCTTTGTTGGGACTAATGACTTTCATGCATGACTTCCTGTTACTTAACTGCATCATGATAGCACGCCAAAAAAGGAACCTGAAAGAATCGAATTTTATGTGGAGAACAAAAAAAAGTACACAGTAACGTGGACCGATTAAGAAAATTTGTCACATGGAACTAGAATAAACTTGAACCTTTTGCATGCTTTGTTTCATTTTAAAAGCATGTGAGATGTGAAACTGTTTGATTTGTTTCTCAGATGATCTTTATGGGAGCAATAACATAGTCATGAAGCTAAACTATCATATTTCAAATTTTATAGAGCTTTCAAATGTTAGAGAAGTGAAGACAATGTGATGCTCACTACATCTGATTTAAGGCCAATAAAAAATGTGTCTTTTCAATCTGTGTAAGTCAGCCTGAAATGCTCAGTCTATCTTACAGTAAGCACTGTTTAGATGTACCGTTTGAATTCAGAGGTAAGGAAAGAAATAAATGTGTGTCAAAGATATGCAGAAATCCTTCAGCCCTTAATGTTGTCGTACAACACATTAACTAAACATGCTTTGCATGCAGGCTGTTTTCGACACTACTTTGTAAAAGCCTTGAACAATTCCTCATTTCTTTATATTTTGCAAGGAAGATGTGAATAAGTGCAGTGATCTATTGAAACAGGTAAACATAACTGGAAATACAGTTTATAAGGCAAAAAAAGAGTTCATGCTGACAAGCTTGAAAGTCTTTTTGTACAACCATCTTTATTTTTCAATATCCCAAATATCACAGGCTGAAATGCCGAATGAAATGCCAAAATGTGCAACTTTGTAACAAGAAGCTAGTAACAAAGTGCCTAAAGATGCAGTGGGTTTTTTATTAAGCTGTCTGTTATGTGCATAGGTCAGAGTTTAGTGGCTTATGTGGAGGTAGATTTCTTTTCTCATGTATTAATCACATATTTAATCATATCACATTAGTTATAGTAATATCACTTTCTCACTTTACTATATTAAGAGCACTCCTGTCACTAGTTTGCATGCATGTGGAATGTAAACACAGTGAGGCCATTGCAATGGCATTATACAGATAGTGAGACTCATTCTGCTTATCAGGGATGTAAATCCATAGGTGATGGCTAAGCAGAAAACAAGGTCATAATTCTCTCTGTGAGGGAGAAGGTATAGCCCCCGTGAGGGCGGGCCCCGTGAGAGAGGCCAACATGTAAGAGTTTGTGAAATGTTCTTTGTCTGTGTCTCTGTATATAAGATGTGAAGGCAGTGGCCACAATTCAGAGATAGTCCTAGTGTTTCACTGGGATGCTCTCTCCACATTGCAATGTGTTTATTAAACCCACTTCAAATCAAGCTCACTGAGTGTGTTGCAGGTTATTGTTTTTTTTTTGTTTGTTTGTTTGTTTTAGCTGTCCCATTTGGTTCTTTAGCTGTCAGAATTGTTGTCTGAAGGCCAACAAGAATACCCAATGGATTTACTTTACCAAGTGGATCATCGCGGCCTTGCCGTATTGATTCATTTGATCAATCTTTGTCGTTATTATTTATTTTATTTTATTTTCAGTTGTTACAGACGTGACAGACATGACTAGGGGATAGGAAAGGGAGAAAGAAAGATGAAGGAAAAGAAAAACAGAGGGGAAGAGGGACAGTGAGAAAGGGTGCTTAAAAAGAGAAAGAGAGAGAAAAAAGATCACCTATTGAGAGAAAAAGAAGAGAAAACAAGCAAATAAAGAGAGCAATATAATAAACACAACACCATCGCATTAATCTAGCTAAGTGTAAACGGCAGTAAATACTAAATATTGAATGTTGCGGTGCAGCACGCAGGACCGACAGCGCACAATGTGCTTTGAGGTAGCAGCCAAGAAAGTTGTAGTTTATGTCTATCTGTGTGCACACCTGTGTGAATCAGCGCTCTTGTATTCAAAAGGTTTCCCCATTGCAGGTTATTGTTAAATTTTCCACAACACTTGCATTCCTCTGAAAATGGTCAGCAGACTGAAAATTAATGAAACAGCATCAAATACCCATTGAAAAACGTTAAAAGACCTTCTGAAGGACTGGAGAACTATTGCTGCAGACCACTCGCTCCTTGGAAACAAAATATAAAGATATGTAGGGTGACTCAGCACAGTACTATAAAACTCCTACATATGGTAAATATAAATATTCTAATGTGGCCACATTTCAACTCTCCCAGAGCACTCGAAGCACTTTAAACATGCCTCATTCACCCATTCACACCAGACAACGCTGACGTGCTTTTTTAAATCTATCAGTCACACACATTTATACTCAGATGAAATCATCAGAGAGCAACTTGGGGTTAGTATCTTGCCAAAGGATATTTAGCATACAGACTGGAGCAGCCAGGGAACAAACTACCAACTGTCTGATCAGTAGATGACCTGCTCTACCTCCTTAGTTACAGCCACTCCATGAGCTTGAGCTCAACTAATTTTAGTATTCATGACTCATTTACTTTACTTGTTATGTTCAACCAGAAAAATCCCAACAGTAATGAAAGATTTATCTTTTGTCACTCAGTGACGTACACTGACACCCAAAGGGTACATGTGGTCCATAACTGTAGACCTGCAGGTGACCATAGCGTACACTACTATTTTCTATCTGGAACTGATCCTCACTGAGGATGGATCAGTGTTCCTCAAAAGAAATAAATTTTAACACGTTATTTAATCTCGGATTCTTGCAAAATGTTCGACGAGGACCAATTGAAAACCAAAATACAAGAGAGTTGAGACAGTAAGCGCACGGAAATAACCGTTAATCGAAGCAACGTTGCCCTCTAGTGGTTAAATATATTTACTGCGCGGACTGTAAACACGGAAGTTCCTGTTTCCGTCGATTTCCTATACAAATTGCTCGTGCGTTTTGTCCCCTTTTATTGTGATGGTGGAGTAACACAGTCAGTAGTTTAAAAATGTGCACCAGAAGTGTTTGATAAAGAAAAAATAGGCGGTATGTTTTCATAACTCACAGCTGGAATATGTGCATGAGCTGCAGACATGACAGGATACCCTGAATTGTAAGCGTCATTATCAGGTCTTAGACTCAGAGTTACAGCCACAGCTGTAAGTGAAATTACCTAAACTGACACCTCAGCTTAGTGAACCTTTCCTTCGTTTTCTCCCAGCATGCAATTCCCCCCTTTCTGTGTTTCACTTTCATTTTTCAATGATTTCTGCTGAAACTGCGCGCAGGGGACGAAGCGGTAAGTTAGCAATTTTTTACATATAGCTCACATAATTTATAAAATAATGAGAATATAAGTTAAGATGCTTTATGGCTTCTGAAAATCTGAGTCATTTTGATTGTAATGCATGATTATACAACGAATCCATTTGTGTGAAATCGAAAGTAATGCTTTTCCCGGTCCTTTGTCATGTGTTATAAAGTACCATGAGAAGCAGTAGTTTGTTTGACAGTCCAGCTATCCTGAGATGTTCGGTGTTTGCTGTCTGACACTACAAGTAAGCGGAGAAATATTGCATTTAGTTTTCTGTGTTTGTATTTCAGGTCCTGCCTCTGTTGTCACCATGTTAGTGGCTCCTCTCCTGCTGGTGCTGTTCGTTCCCTTTTCTCCCTCATCTGGAGCACAGTTACCAAATCAAACCAAGGCCAAAGACCTCCCTATTGCCACCAATGGTCAGCCCTTCCCCTGGGACCGCATGAGACTCCCCACAACCGTCACTCCACTCCACTATGACCTGGCCATACACCCCAATCTGACCACCCTGGACTTCACTGGCGTTGTTCGTATTGAGCTTGATGTGCATGAAGACACCAACACTGTGATTCTCCATGCCAAGCAAATGCAGATATCCGATGTGTTCCTCTTGGCACCTGAAGGCATTAAGCGCCTTAAGGTGTTGGAGTATCCTCGCTTCCATCAGCTAGCCTTGCTGTCAGACTCAGTGCTCATCAAAGGTAGGAAGTATGAAGTTCATCTGGCATTTGCTGCCAACCTGTCTGACAGTTTCCATGGTTTCTACAAGGGAAGCTACCGCACCAGCAGCGGGGAGGTCAGGTAAGGCCACGAGGCATTTTGAATGTTCTCTGCGTTTATTTTACTAATAATACTAAATTTCTCTTTTGACAAATAACTAAAATAACTGAAGAACGTCAGAGAAAAAAATGAATGGCATCCTTGTTCACCTCCATTTTATTGGCTGTTATCAGATACTGAAGTAAAATCTTCCTTTTTGCAACAGAAAACAAAGAGTTTATTGTAAATGTAGTGCAACTTTAGAATTGGCTATAAAATCAGTGCAAGTAAAAGCTTAAAGTTCACCAAAAAAAGATTATTTAGTGCTGAAAGCTCCTAATCACACCAGCTTTAATCCACTTTCACTTTGTGCTTGATTACATCTTCAGAGTCCTGGCGTCCACGCAGTTTGAAGCGACTTTTGCTCGTGGAGCCTTCCCCTGTTTTGACGAACCCGCCTTCAAAGCCAACTTCACCATACGAATTATTCGAGAGCCACGCCACATAGCCATATCCAACATGCCAATGGTAAATGTAGACTGACCAGTCCCAGTTTACTTTAAGCATAAATGAGTAATTGCCAGAAATATGAATTTATTAAAAAGAACAAAATAGCAACATGCGTATATACATACGACTATATATGCACATCTGCAATATTATGGACCTCTCCTTTCTTTTCTTAATTATTAAAACACACCTGCGTTTCTCAGGTTAAAACTGTGGAGTTGCCGGGTGGTTTGCTTGAGGATCACTTTGACACCACTGTGAAAATGAGCACCTACCTGGTTGCCTACATTGTGTCGGACTTCAAGTCTGTGAGCAAGACGACCCAGCATGGTGTCAAGGTGAGATGCACACCAGATGCTTCTTATAAAAAGACTTTTTTTAGTCAGCAGTTTGACTAAAATACTTTGCATAGGTACTGTATACATCTACACGGTGTGAAGCATATAAGATGTGTCATCTAACAACTGTTGTACTAAATGAGAAAACTTGCTTGTGCTTTGTTCTTTACTGTGATTCCCTTCAGATTTCAATCTATGCTGTCCCTGAGAAGATCGACCAGACAGCCTTTGCACTGGATGCTGCTGTCAAGCTGCTGGACTTCTATGATGACTATTTTGACATTCCTTACCCACTTCCCAAACAAGGTCAGTGGAAATCACATGGCGTTTCCATGTTAAGAGACAGACACTGGTGTAGCAGTTGTTATTTTGTAACATATTACAACAGCAAGAAAAGACTTGATGAGTCATAAGTCTCTGTCTGCTTCTGATCCTTTATTCGCCTGTGTGGAAACTGTGATTTGTGCACACATTCAGGATCACATGATACCTCATATTTTAACGCTTTGACAGGACAAATATGTAAATTTAGGTGTAGACTGCTCTGTAGATGTATCAGAGGAGAACGTAAGCGATACCTAGTCGAACGGTAAGGTGACATGACTGTACCACATTTATTGTGATTGTGTTCCCTCTGCAGACCTGGCAGCTATTCCTGACTTCCAGTCAGGTGCGATGGAGAACTGGGGTCTGACCACCTACAGAGAGACCGGCCTCCTCTTTGACCCTGAAAAGTCATCAGCTTCAGACAAGCTGGGCATCACCAAGGTCATCGCCCATGAACTTGCGCACCAGGTAGCTGCACTGATTCTGTTTTTAGTTAAAAGTAAAGCATTAGGGGATGGCTAGGCTGTGCAGACAACCCATGTGCTGTAAGGCTAATCCAGAGGTCTGGGTTTGAATCAGTGCTGAGGCCATTTACTGCATGTCTTCACCTTCACCTCCCAGCTTTGTCTTTTCTCTTCAATGTTCTGTCACAATAAAGGCTTAAAATCTAAAAAATAAATAAAAAAATAAAAATAAACTCATCAGTGTCAGAGTTCATCAGTCTGCACCAAGTTTTCCAAGTCAGAGCTTTACAAAGAAAATTTGCTTAAATTTATTGTCAGTATGATTGAGCGTAGCATGTGCAGTAGATACAGGTTTGTTTGACTTTTCAGTCGTCAGTACAGTATAACAACACTAAAGGTGAAAGTGCATGTTTAATGCTGTTCTTGCATGTTTTCCTACCTGTCCAGTGGTTTGGAAACCTGGTGACGATGGAGTGGTGGAATGACTTGTGGCTCAATGAAGGTTTCGCCAAGTTCATGGAGTTTATTTCTCTCGACATCACATACCCAGAACTTCATGTGGTGAGACTTTGAAACTCTATTTAAAACTGACTAATCCCAGGTCCTACTGGAACATACAGATAAGTTAAAATGATTTACTTAAAACCAGAAGGACAATAAAGTCACAGTCTCATAGTTTTAGTGGTGTACATTAGCTGAACAACTCCTATGTTTTGCTGGATAAGGCGACAAAGATGTGCATAAACATGATTCCATCCTCTCATTCTTCCAGGATGATTTCTTCTTGGCAAAATGTTTCGAGGCTATGGAAGTAGACTCCCTCAGCTCTTCCCACCCAGTCTCCACCCCTGTGGAAAATCCCACACAGATCCAGGAGATGTTCGACGATGTGTCATATGACAAGGTTAACCTCGGCTGTTACATTCTGTTTCATGTTTCTGTACTTGTGTAGGATATTGAAACTAACAATCGTCTCAGTATTTCATCATCATGTAAAATCAGTTAATATTTGACATGAATTAGATATTCCCAAAGCTGAACTCACACTGTGCAGTTGAATCAAAACACTGAAGGACTTATCTACGTTTCATATTGTTCCTTTTTTTTAGAAGCATGTATGTATTTTGTTTTCAGGGTGCATGCATTCTGAATATGTTGCGCGACTTCCTCACTCCTGAGGCTTTTGAGATTGGCATCGTCCGATACCTGAAGCGCTACAGCTACCAAAACACTGTGAACAGCCACCTGTGGGAGAGCCTGACCAATGTGAGTGATGTGTGAGCGGCTCTCTTTTAGAGGACTGATTTTTCATCAGTCATTTTTCTTCTTATGTAACTGCGAATGCTGAATGTGGCTCATCGTGATACACGTCTCTGCTAAATGTGCTTCAGATCTGCAGCTCAGATGATCTGGATGAAGGTCGACTGAAACACACAGAATTCTGCTCCAAACGCAAAACTCAGTCCGGAGCCTCGGTAAGTTGTTGTTTGATGCTTGGTGGCAAACTTGTTCAACAAAGCTCTCTGATTGTGAGCATATTTTACTAATTACAATAAACTCCTGTGACGTTGTTGTATTTATACAACATTATGTTTGTCTGTATATACAGAAGTGGTACTCGGGTGATGAGCTAGACGTCAGGGCCATCATGGACACCTGGACTCTGCAGGAAGGCTTCCCACTGGTCACGGTGGAGGTCAGAGGTCGGGAGGTCAGGCTCAGTCAGGAGCGTTACTTGAAGACAGACGACCCCTCCCCGAGTGAAGGGTATGCTGTCAGGAGCGTTTTTTTGTTACAATGCAAGTTTACAGCATTAAGCTGTCTTCAGCCTGGAGCGTGCAGGAAGCAGGGTGTAGTTTACTGAACAGTTCCTGTAACTGTGTAGCCGTCTTTGAAGCTTACAGTGAAAAATCATCACTTTCATTTCTCCGGCCAATAATAGTCTTATGTTTTTACCCCTCAGCTGTAAAAGGTTGATGGGGTATTATCATCACCCAGCTGGGCGGGCAGGCGAGCGGCGGGGACAAAAAAGTTCGTGAATGTGATAAATCGAGAATGAGGAGACGTTGGAGCTTTCAATTGATAACATAAGTGTATCTACTAAGAATATTGGACAACTTAATATCTCAGTGACTTCAACTTAAAGGTCAAAGGTCAGAGATCAAATTTTCCCAAAGTATTGTGAATGTGATAACTGAAGAATACAGTGGTGTAGGATTTTAAAATTGATACCATAGTTGCATCTACTAAAAATCTCGGATGAGTTCTATTCTCAGTGACCTTGATTTCAAGGTCAGTGACCTCTGACCTTGAACTCACAGTCAAGACTTGAACTTGACCTTAAAAAAAATCAAAGGTCAGAGGTCAGGTTTTCTGAAAATCTTGTGAACGCAATAACTTGGCAATGTAGGATTTTGAAATTGATACCATAGAGGTGTCTGCTATGAGGCAGAGGGATCACCCTGGCGGTCTCCAGTATTTTTATTGTTATAATAAACAGTTTGACAGTTGCTTATCTTGATTTAATCATGATTAAACAAAGACATTACCTTTTAATTAATCATTATTTTGTGTGTCTAGATTCCTGTGGCAGATCCCGCTGACGTACAAGACCAGTGCCTCCAACACCGTCCACCGCTTTCTGCTTAAGACAAAGACTGGTGAGTACTTGATGACATTGAGCCTTGGTTTTCTTTTAAACGGCAATATTCATTTAAATTTCACAAGACATCATCACTTGAAAGCTTCTCTTTACTCTTCTGTCTTGTTCAGATGTCCTGTTCCTGCCAGAAGAGGTAGACTGGGTGAAGTTCAACGTGGACATGAGTGGTTACTACATGGTTCATTATGCAGGCGAGGGGTGGAACTCTATTATCAAGCTGTTGCAACACAATCACACAGCCCTGAGCGGTAATGACCGTGCCAACCTCATCCACAATGTCTTCCAGCTTGTCAGGTCTGTTTAAACATTGCATATTAACACCAAAATTAGCTGTCTATCCTTTGGTATCTAGTTTAAGTGAAGCAGTCTGATATATTGAGTAAATATAAGCTTTGCAGAAAAAAACAAAGTATTATACATTCCACATACATTGCTTTTTCCCTACTCTTTGTTCTAAAGACAAGAATTTTTAAATATATCAGCTAAAATTATGTTTAGATCCAAGCACACAGTATGCTAGAAAGGAGAAAGGAGCAGCAGGATGTTTACCTGACATCTGTCTTGCAGTATAGAGAAGGTGAGGCTCGACACGGCTTTGGAGCTGTCGCTTTACCTGTCCAGAGAGACCAAGATCATGGCCGTGACTCAGGGCTTTGGAGAGCTTGTGCCGCTTTACAAACTGATGGAAAAGAGAGACATGAAGGTGCTGGAGAACCAGATGAAGGTTAGTTTGCTGGCACATTACTTGGCACATTATACCAACATATGTGACTCAGTGGCATAGTGTGACCAAGCTCAACAAAGCACAGCCCCAATTAGGAAAAAAAGAATAAGCTTTCCCTTTACAGTAGTTTAAGGTAAAACTATACATTCACCCATCTGAATTATTGACTTCAGGTGTTCCACGCATATCAACCACTGGACTGAAAAAGAATAAAAAGGCTTTGACTTTGCACATGCTTTATAAGCAGAGTGCCCCAGGTGCAATATGATATGAAATATTATGATAAAATTTATTGTCCAGTCTGGGAAATTTGTCATGGACTCAGGTACTCAAGATAAGTTATCTTGAGTACTTGAGTCACAAAACAAAAGTACTGTCTCAAAATCAGTGTAATGAAAGATTCATTTTGTATATAATTTAGTTTATAATGTGAAATGTCTAAGAAGCAGGGTTCACACTATAATTCTAATTACAGTTTGTTCGAATTTTACAATGGATGGCAGCAAATGTGAAAAGAGAAGGTTTACAAGATGGTAGTGATGTTGGGAGACAGTGATACTTATTAAAGAGACAGGAGGCGGAGATGAAGAATGGACCGTTTTAGAAATTTCACTTCTTAACTCAAGCAGACCAGTTTGGACACAAAGATAGAAAAGTAAGGCTGAGGTGGTTTGGACACAAGCAGAGATGGTATAGTGGATATGTTGGTGAGAAGATGCTGAAGCTGCCGTGCAGAAAGAAAGAGGAAGACCACAGAGAAGATTCATGGATATAGTTAAGCAGGACATGCAGAGGGTTGGTGTGACAGAGGAGGATGCTAGGGAACGCATGAGATGGAGGCAGATGGTCTGCTGTGCTAAACCTTAAAGGAAGCAGCTGATTTCTGTCTAGTCTTGTCTAATCCATACTCAAAAATACAGAAATGTGAAAAAATGAGCAAAATAAAAAGTCATGCTTTTGATTTATTAGTGACAAAATATCATATTTAATATCTGCTAAGAGCTATTTCGCTTCTTAATTCTTTTTATTTATGTCTCCACATTATTAGGATGAATTTGTAGTGATAATTTTCTATTTCAGAAATGACTAAAATAATTAATCTTCTGTTAAAAAATTGAAGGTAAGGTAAGGACCAGGAAAACCCTGATACAAAAGTATCACTTTGCTAGTATACCCCTGAAGTCATTCTCTAGTATTACTGCACACACTAAAAGCAGTGAATCTATGCTACCTTAAATTCATTTTCCTATTATTTTCAACCATGTCCATTGTGATTGTGTAATAAAACTCCAATTTAGAAAAACTGGTTAAAAAATTGATTTCTTTTTTGGTTCAAACATCGTTCGAGGGGTGTCTGACGTTCCTCTTTGCAGGAAAACAAACATACAGCATGTGGATTGTAACTGTATACTCTCTAAGGAGGATTTAATGTCTCTTTTTGTTTTTTAGAGCTATATTGTAGATTTGTTCCAGGATTTGATTGACCAGCAGGAATGGAATGACTCCGGCTCCGTGTCTCAGCGAGTGTTGAGAAGTTACCTGCTGCTGTTTTCCTGTGTCAGGAACTATGCTCCCTGTGTGACAAAAGCCACCCAGCTCTTTAACCAGTGGAAGGACTCTGATGGCACCATGAGGTTTGGAGTCATAGTCAAAAATAGCACAAGAGAATCTGATTTTACTATGTATATACATCTGAACTGAAAGCCTCCTTGTTTTTGTTTTTTTAGCCTTCCTGTTGATATCACCATGGCTGTGTTTGTGATTGGAGCTCGAACACCAGAGGGCTGGGATTTCCTCTTTGAGAAGTACCGCCATTCGCTGCAAATGTCAGTCAAGAGCCGCATGAAGACTGCCATGGCTGTTAGCCCACTGCAGGACAAGCTCAAGTGGTGTGTAGATTATGGGAACTGGGACACATCAGTATTTCTTAGCTAAAGCTAAGGGGATATTATTATCCCTGCTCTCCCTTTACTCTTCCCTTTCTGTCTGCAGGATGATGGAGCAGAGCCTCATCGGTGAGATAATGAAGACTCAGGACCTCCCAGACGTAGTCGTCTCTGTCAGCAAGAACCCCCATGGCTACCAGCTGGCCTGGGACTTCCTCAGAGCCAACTGGCACACTATGATCAAGAAGTCAGTCAGCCCATCACACACATGTTTTATCATCCACAATACACCATCAGCCTTAAATCCTCAGTCTAGATTATGACAAATGATGATAGTTTTGCACATATTGATACTTTTGTTTAGCCAGGAGAGAGCACTGCTTGTGCCAAGAGTATTAAAATTGGTAGAATAGCCTATAGTATAAACTTTATTTGTATACAGAAAATTTTGTTTGTTTTTGATATGAAGTCATTCCCTAACAAAATAGGGAATTCTATCACTGGTTAAAAAAATCTGAACTTTAGTGTTTGTTTGCTTTGATGTCACAGGTTTGACCTCGGCTCCAGCACTATATCATACTTGGTAACTGGGGTAACTAACCAGTACTCTACTAGAGAGATGCTAGATGAGGTAAGTATGGCTGCATGTCTACATGGGTGTTCATTATTTCGATCAGGAGGCAT